GATCTTCATGAAACTATTGATAATAGATTATTTAAGTATTTACAAGAAAAATGAATTAAAAATCTGTTTTGTTATAAACTAAATTTAATTATATGTATATTTAAAGTAATATATATTTTTATTTTACTCTTTTTTATATTTATAATAATGTTAATAATTGAAAGCATTCATTTTTATTAGGAAATTTTTGGTAAATCAAAAATATAAAAATTTAAATTTTTGTTAATGAATTTATTTTTTTGATTTATAAAAATTTCTGTCACTAATGTTTTATGTATATATATTATTGCTTGCAGTAAATTACAAAAAAAAAATTGAGTCTAAAAATTTTATATAAGAAACAAATATTCTTACAATATAGTAAGAATATTACAATATTATAATTAGTCTGATTTTAATACATAGACACATTATAGTGACAATATATGTATAACATAGTACATTTTATAATTTGTATATCTAATTTTATTACCTGTTATGATTTTCAATATTGGAAAGGTATGATAAACTATTGAAAATAAACATAATGCATTTGTCGATTTATTGCATTGCGCAGCAATGCGCTTTTTATAACAATTGCAATGTTCTTTCTTGTACATATTTCGCTAGTAATAAAACATAATAACAATATTTTAATGTTTAATAATTATAAAAGTAATTTAAATAAACAAAAATGTATAAAAAATTCCAATTAAATTTTATAAATGATTATATATTTTATGTATTTTTTTATACTTTGATTCAAAAATGAATTTAAAAATTTCGTGATGATATTTTGTTTTTATGGACGATTTTCATTTGTGCGATAATATCTATATTTTTTCAAATTTCCAGAAAATTCTGTGTATAAAAAGTTTTATTATTTTGATATTTAGTTGGAATGTGTAAAATTTTCTACACACATAATAATACATTACGCGCACATAATATTTGTATTTGTAAAATATTAATTGTAGAAAAACGTTTTATATAAATCTTTAGCTAATTTATCAATATCTTACCAATTGACATAATGAATTAGTTTTTTTGTTTCACATTATGTCCAAATAAAAATTTGACTATTACTGCTAATTTGTTATAAACAAATTGATTTTTGAAGGTAATAACATTTTATTATTACTTTACAAAAGTCATATTCATAAAAAATTTCATTAAATAAGAAAAAATCATGTATAAAGAGGGACAACGTTAGATATATAACTATAAAATTCTAACAAAATTTTTTACAATTTTTAATAGTAATTTATATGTTAAAATGTTATTTTCCATTTATTTAAAGAGGCTGTTGTAGTTCGTATAACATACTCAAGTATCACGATAAAGTATCAACTAGACGTCAAATGTGCAAATGTTAGTACAACCTTTTCGTGATCGCCATATTTGAATCCTAACCTTAGATCTATTGCGAGAAAAAACCAAGGCAGTTTTCGACGTGACGATTCATTTCATTTTTTTTTTTTTTTTATAATGCAAATTTTAACTACTGGTCACAAAAAGATCGCTTAGTTTAAACTTATATAACATTATCGTAATCGATCACATTGGATCTTATATAATTCACCTACTGAAAACTAAACTGCTAATGAAGTTGACTAATTTATATTTACAATATCTTAGACCAGCAATTTATCAAAGTTTATGTTGCTGATCCAAAAATAAAAAAATTCCAGGCCGATATATAATCGCATTTAATTCGTCAGAGAAATATCGGGTTTTTATATTAAACCCAATTTTTCTGTAACGGTATAATGTATTAAGCACCGCGAACAAAACGGCAGTTGTAAGAACTAAAAATTCTGATCAAATAGATTTGGTTTATCGTTATCGATTTTCCAATTTCTATTTACTTTGATTTTGTAACTAAGTATGTATATCATAATTCGATCTTTAATATTTTAAAGAACTTTGGATTGCATTTTTCACTGAATTTTTTTACATACACCATTTGCATATCCGTTAGCATGTCCATTTGAAATATTTCCATTACACACAGTTCCATCAGTAATTTCTTTCTTCGATTGAGTATCTACTTTCATTTTTTCTAATTGTCTCTCCGCATATGCTTGTTTGCCCTAAAACATTGATATTTCGAAATTTTTTATGAATTAAAAAAAAAAAGTAATTATTTATTTTATTATTATTAAATTTATATTTAGAAAAATTTAGAAAATATTTTGAAGATTACCTTAGCAATGTAAGCTTTGGCATAAAAGTTTCCAAATAGAACGATAAAAGAGATCATGTAAATGACAAGAGCATATTGCATCCAAAGTGGAAAATCACATCCTGATCGAATACCATTGATGCCAAGAATCAAGGCAGTGGTAAACTGGATCAATTGAAGAATCGTCAAATATTTTTTCCACCAGAGATATTTAGCTACGGAGGGTCCCAATGCGGCCAAACCGTAATATGAATACATAAGAACATGTATAAAACTGTTTACCATTGCTGGAAGAAAAGCTGAAATATAAATATTTTCAATTAAAAATTATATCCATTTAATCCAAAAAAATAAAAAAATAGCTTTAAAGAATAAAAATTTATTTATAAATTTAATCACATAATTCAATCATTTGTATCTAATAAACATCTTTAATTTTTAGTAAAAACAAGTTCCTATGATTTCTCTTGTAATTTTAAGATTCATAAATGTATAAAGATGTTACGATATCTATCAATGTATATACCAAGAGATATAATTTTTTATAATTCGGCAAACTTTCTATGAAATTTTTTATTTTTATTTTTTATTTTATTACATGGAAGCGATTAAAATTAATAAATACAATTAGAACACATTTATTTATTGCTTAATATCATCAAATTTAAATTTTATTTTACGTATTATAAATTACATATTAATCATAATCAATATAGTAAACATTAATTAGAAAATCAATGTAATTAGAGAAATGTAAGTACTTATTATTTTTTAATTATATGAATATATTTTATTTCTTTTATTTGAATAGATATTAAAAATAATAAGGAGAAAGTAAAAATCTTTTTACTTTCTTTGTTTATTAACTTTTACTAATCCTTAAAAATAAACGAATGAGCGAAATGTTATCTCGTTTTGTTATAAAAAAGTTTTTATTTTTTGATAGCTGAATTTTAAAACTTAAAGAATATAAATGCAATTTTATATTCCAATATTAATTAAAAAAAAAAAAAAAA